GGAAGAACGGCAACCTCATATAGTGATTGCGGGATATCTGTTATTTTGCTTGCTGTCAGTGTGTCGTTTTTCAGATGCAATGTTTGTGACGGGCATGACAGTGTCACGGCATGGGAACACTGTGCTCATCGAAGCTGGAACTGCCGTGCACAAGACAGCTCAAACAAAAGAACGAAAGACGATGCTTTTGCCGCTGATGGCACTGGGCCATGCTCTCAGGTTGGACAAATCCTGGGGTGAGCGTTGGATTCATGTCATGTCAAGGCAGTTTGCTGACAGTAGGAAACTATATGTGCTGCCAGCTTACAGTGAGCAATCCAATCGATGGCTTACACGGCCTATGACGACAGGAGAGGGGGTCTTGTGGCTGCGTGGAATTGTGGGCCTGCGTTGCCGTACAGGTGACAGCTTGACAACACACAGCCTGAAAACCACGCTTCTTTCGTGGGTGACCCTGTTTGGATTGATGAGCTTTGATCAACGACGGGTGCTGGGACATCACATTGATGCTGGACTTGCCAGCCCTTTGACCTACGGTAGGGACAATGTAGCGCCTTTGCAGGTCATTCTTGCGAAGCTCTTGAGACAAGTGGCACAAGGGGAACTGGACCCTGATGCTCCCAGGGTGCAGAGAATCGACAAAGAGTTGGAGATTCGTGAGACCCTTGACGACTTGGAAGCTGACCAGGAAGGCGTTGTTTTTGGCGTCCAAGCTCAGCCTCATGATGACGTAGATGAGATGGATGATGCCTATGAGGCTGATGAGATGGTCGACAAGGCCTTTGGAGGCCAAAGGGTGTACATTGCTGCTTCCAGGGCTGATGGGAGGCTCAAACAACACCAAGTTTCTGGTGTCCTTCACTTCATCGGCCTTGACGACAAATTTGTTTGCGGGCGAGGCATCAACGGGTTCTATGAAGATGTAGCTGATGATTTGGCACATGATTGGCCGATGTGTCAGCAGTGCCGGAAGGCAATGGGAGAAGAAGCTGTCAGCACCTATCTAGAGTCTTGACGACAGGAGGACCTGTTGCACTCTGATGAAACAGTGTATAATACGGCACAGAAACGTGCCCTTGTGAGAGCGGCCCCAAGATAAAAAGATGCCAGCTGAGCAGACTTGATCAAGTCATTGTGCAAAGCCTCATTTTGGCAACATTGTGCACAGGCATTGTTTGTCATTGTAATTGTATATCACTGTGTTTGTCCACACAGTATTGTTCTCAGAGGGTGCCACGAGCATCCATTGTTGCGAAATCAGACCGAATGGTCATTGTGCCTGTTTGCGTGTGGCTCAGCTGGATTGGTTTTGGGGTTCATGTCAGTTTCTTCACATAGCATGTTCATTTCGGAAGTCAGCCAAGTTTTGAATCAATGCGACGGACAAACAATAGGTACAACTATCGACTAGTTGACCCTATTCTTTTGCGCTGTTGTGTTCCACTGAAGAGTTTTTGTCAACTGAAGAGTTTTAAATCTCTCACAAATGTTTTTCATATATTACATGTCTGACATTGTGAAAGCGTGAATTTACCTGAACAATGGTGCATACATGTTGACTTGCTTTTGTGATTTTAGAGTTGCCGGAGCGTTGCCTTGAGATGGACAGTGCAGCAGCGTTCAAAGAGCGAGCGCTCAAATTGGGATTGCCGGAGGCATCCATCACCAGGCTATCTGATGCAAAGCTGGCGACGTTTGGACAGTTTGCATTCATCAGTTCTTTTCAACCTGGATCGGCAGATGAACAGCCGCTCATTGATGCCCTTACAAAAATCCTTACTGTAGAGCCAGGACCTGCAGAACTGGCCAGTTGGAGGCGGCTTTATTTTGAATGCCATACAGCTGCAATGACGGAGCTTAAAACCAGATTGGAAAGGAAAGATGATGAGGCGCCGAGAAAACTCCTCATGCCAGAACGCATTGAGCGGCTTGAACGTGCCAAACGGGCGCTCAGTGGCATTACAATTGATGCACAGCTGGAACCGGCCCACAGACTAGTTGATGCAGCAGTCCAACAGGCAGAAGACAGTACAGTGCGATATATTCCCCTGAAGGATTGCCTGTCAAGGGAGTCAGAGCTGTTGCATAGCAAGACAGAGCTCTCCATCGAATTTTCGGCAGATGGAACCATGAAATTGGGAAAGAAACAGGCTGAAATTCAGGCAGAGACTTCAGGGGATTTGCGAGTGAAGATGGCGATGCAACGCAGAGCTTTGGCATACCATATTGCAGGCATTTGCAACTTCCAGGCCATTGATGCATTGGTACAACGGATGTTTTCCCTGATGACAAAGGAACCAGTGAGAGGTTTCCGTGCTGTGTCCCTGCAACAAGTTGTCAACGCAGACAGAGAGATGTGGATGCAGGCTGCCCAGAATTCCAGAGGCAAAACATTGGCTGACCCAACTCGACCTTTGGATGAGATCCTGGAGAAGGCCTTCAACTCGCCGGAGACCAGCTACCACCTCCTACCATTGCCAGCCTCATCCAAAGGCAGTGGAAAGCCTGAGCCATCAGCCGACACACCCAGGAAGCCTGCACCAAAGCGGCCTCTGCCAGGCCCCAAAGGAGGGGCGCCTTCCAAGAAGGGCAAGGGGAAAGGCATTGACTTACCCCAGGGCTGCGCACCGGAGACGGGATCGGGTCAAAGGATTTGCTTCCAATTCAATCGGAAGAGGTGCAACCACCAGGACAAGGACAAGTGCGTCAGAGGCTTGCACGTGTGCTGGTTGAAGACATGTGGAGGCAAGCATGCCCATGCGGATTGCCCTCACCTTTGACCAAACAACGGGGACAAGGAGGCCAGCATCCCTTGTGCTCCGCATGCACCTCCGCTGGAATTTTGCTACAATGGTTTGAAAATTTTCCTTCAGAACGACATGAAGCCTTCAGATTTTCATGTCAATTTGCATGAATTGATGTGTGTTGAGATTTTTGCAGGGTGCGCACAACTTTCAGCATCCCTCAAACAAGCTGGTTTCTCAGTTTTGCCTACCGACCACCAGAAGGGCAAGACCCTTAAGGCAAAACTTATGTTGCTGGACAACGGCAAACATTGCCTACTGCCACTGCGCACCTGTCTGCGGAACAGGAAGCAGAGCCAGGGAAATCCCCCTGCCTCCGGGAATGGAACACCTGCGGGCAGAACCACTACGTGACAAAACCCATCCTCTTGGGCTGCCCGATCTGTGTCCCAATGATGCGGCACGGGTGCATGCTGCAAATCAGTTATATTTCTTGACATTGTGTGTGGCGTTTGTGGCGGCCAGGCGAAATTTTATTTTGAGTGTTGAGAACCCGAGCAATGCATATTTTTGGTTGGCAATGCAGGTTTTGGCAGAACGTTTCAAGCAGCTGGGGCCATCATGGTTTGCGTGTGAGTCAACACACTTTCAAGCGTGCGAGCATGGAGGTTTGAGAGATAAATGGACATGTTGGTATGGAACCAAAGACATCTTTCAGAGCTTGAGGGCGCTGTGCACCCACAACCATCCCAAAACTGAATGGAGGCCATACATGGATCACAACGGCAAGCCGGTTTTTCCAACAAAAGCAGAAGCTGCCTACCCAGAACTTTTGTGTCAGAGGGTGTCACAACTGGTGAGACTGAATGCAATCGAGCGTGGAGCAACTGTGGATCCCAATGCTTACAGACCTGCAGGTCAACTGGATGAAGCACGTATCAACAGAAAGCATGGTCTTGCCGCGCTTCCACCTATTGTGGCTGAATACAAACTGGTAACCGATACAATGCCTCCTGCGGATACCCAGCACAAGGTCATTTCCACACTTCCCTCCTCAGGAAAATGGGGGGATGATCACACTTTGAGTGCAAGGGGGACTCAAGTCCAACTGTCAGATGAATACAAGGTGGGCAATGCACTTTATGGGGTACACAGAGATCACAAAGAATTTTTGGAGGCAGCGCTGTCAGCCCAACACCCAATTGACACAGCGTGTCATGTGCCAGACATTTTGGCCAGAAATGTGGCCAAGGTACTCAGTGACGGGCCTCAACTGGTTAATGCAAGACGCAAACTGGAAGTTTTGAAAATAAAACGGCTTGCGGCCCAACTACAGCAAGAGGAGAAACGTCTGCATGAATCACTGGATCCAGAGATGGAAAATTTGATGAAAGACAAAAACCTGCTCCTTTGGCGCGAGCTAATGGTTCAGACTGGGTTCGATGACCCTACGCTGTTTGATGAGTGCGTGGCAGGTTTCCGTTTGGTAGGGCAGGCTTCTTCCTCCCCTCAATTTCCTCATGGTTTCATTCCTATGCAACAGACGCCTGAAGAGTTACAACGGAAAGCAATTTGGCTACGCAAGTCCAATGCTGCCAAGTGCCGGTCGACTGGACGGCCAGAGCTGGACACGCTGGTATGGAACCAGACCCTTGAGGAGAGAGACGTTGGATGGCTTAAAGGGCCTTTTACAGAAAAAGAAATTGATGAAATGGTTGGGTCGCAACAGTGGCTGGCCACCAGAAGGTTTCCTTTGGAGCAGAGAGACAAGACAAGGCTCATCGATGACGCCTTAGCTTCGGGATTGAACTCGGCCTATGGCACCAGCAACAAGCTTACTCTCTTTGATGTGGATACTCTGGTATCAATGGTGGTGCAGGTGGCAAAAGCATTCCAGCGACCTCAAAGTCCTCTCTCCACCAGCATGGGTGAGGAGATACCCTTGAATGTCTCCCCTGCCTGGACCAAACCGTACGAGGTGTTGGGACGAACGTTAGACTTGCAAAGCGCTTACAAGCAGATAGGTCCTTTCATGCCAGACTTGTGGAACCGGGTGATCATGGTTTACGACCCCGAAAGCAAAGGCCCCCGGTACTTTATTTCTTCAGCTCTGATGTTTGGCTCAACAGCTGCAGTTTACGCTTTCAATCGAATGAGCAGGTCACTATGGCACATCCTGACCCATATCCTGACATTGTGGACCACAGTGTACCATGACGATTTTCCCATGGTTGAAATGGCTGAGACCGCTGAAGTAGCAGAGTGGTGCGTTGGAGAGGTACTAGATACCCTGGGTTGGAAGTTTGCGAGGAGCGGCAACAAAGCCCCGCCCTTCAGCCGACAGTTTGATGTTTTGGGTGTGACAGTGGATCTGCACCACCTATGTTCTGGCAAGGTTCTTTTGAAGAACAAGGCCTCTCGGGTTAGGTCCATTGTGGAGTCCATGGACAAACTCATTCTTGCTGGCAAGATAGAACCAGGGGTTGCAGCCTCTTTGCATGGTCAGCTGAACTTTGCACAAGGACAATACCTGGGAGCACCTCTCAAACCTGCTATGAAGTTTTTGAGCAATGTAGCGGCATCTGGATGGTGCGATTCCATGAAACCTTTACTGGCTGTAGCGAGCATATACACCAAGGCGGTCATGCAGTATGACGAACCTCGCTGCATCTCCCTGATGGATCAGACAACGCCTTTGGTAGCCTTCACTGATGGTGCGTGGGAACCTTCAGCTTCTTCGCCAGCAGGTGCCGGCATTGTATTGGTGGATCCAGTCACTGGAATCCGCATTGCACACGAGGTAGTCGTACCTCCTTGCTTGGTGGAACACTGGAAGAGCATGGGCAAAGCCCAACTTATTTCTGAGCTTGAATTGCTTCCTGTTGTTGTCTTCTTTGAACAGTACAAGGAATTACGCAGTCGACGACGAATTTTGCTTTTTGTGGATAACAATGCAATCAGAGATTCAGTTTCGAAAGGGACATCGAAGTCACTTTCTGTTTTGGTGCTGCTGTCAGAGATTCACCGCATTTGGACGGAGATTCAATGTTTGTGTTGGGTGTCCAGGGTTCCTTCACTTTCGAATGTTTCTGACCTGCCTTCTAGAGGAAAAGCAAATCAAGCAGCCGCTGTAATTGGTGGCACCAACGGCAAACCGCTGGACCCTTCTCCGAGACTTTGCGATTTGATTTGCGATTCGAATTCTTTTGTCCAGTTCATGCGACAGCACCTGAAGACGAACAACAAAGTTTGATGAATGGAGAAAAAATGGGAAACGTGAACAGCTTGTATTTTTCCACACAACAAAACGGTCACAATGGAGTGACCATTGTCCAACTGGAAAGCATCAAACGATGCATTGTGCGAAATGGCCTAACTGGCATTGTTGGTGGATCAGCGTGCGATAAACCCCTTGCGTCTCAGGACGACCTCAACAATAAAGAATGCGTGAAAAAAGAAAGATAACTCAAAGTGCGAGGGGAAGCCATGGATGTGAGCGTTTTGCTTTTTGGAGTTTGGAGCTGTGAAAATTTTTATGTTTTGTAATATACGTATATAGTGATATATACGTTTTGTTTGTGCGTATATATATGCGCTTTTGTTTGAAGAAGGACACACCTTAAAGATGGAAGCGTTCAACAAAGTTGAGAGCACTATCTTTAGGTGTGCAGTGTCAACGTCCTTCTTCTTTGTTTTTCTGTTGCTCCTCTCCTCCTTCCCTTCGTGTCGCGACTGTTTCTTGTGGGGATGCGTTTGCGCGCTGTCTGCACTTATTGTCTGTGCATTGTTTCTACGCTTCTTTGCGTTTATCTATCTTGTGCGACTACCGCCTATGAAGTTTCCATTGGTAACCGGAAGTTATGACTTGGTGTTCCCCAGTTTGTGAACCCTTTGTTTGTGACTGTTTTGCACAGAACTCTGTTTAACTTATTTCAACCCAAAGAAACTGGAGCTGTTTTGTGGCTGCTGCTTCTGTAAGTATCTGTTCTTATCAATGCTGTTGCCAAGGAGTAATAGCAATCTTCAAACCACGGTGTTACGAATCTTTGAATTGGGTTGTTGTTGTTATTAAGCAAACAGTTGTCTGTACATATCAGCGTGACTACTTTGCAGTCTCTTATCCACCATGTTCTTATCAGTGTAACAACTATTTGTTTGTGTGGCAGTTTGGCTGTTCAGCACCGTGTGGGGGGGTGCGGTTAGGTTTTCGCTCCATGGATGTGAGCGTTTTGCTTTTTGGAGTTTGGAGCTGTGAAAATTTTTATGTTTTGTAATATACGTATATAGTGATATATACGTTTTGTTTGTGCGTATATATATATATGCGCTTTTGTTTGAAGAAGGACACACCTTAAAGATGCGGCATTCTTGAGAGGAGACAACATTGAAAGACAGAAAGGCCGAGTTTTGGTCAGAATTCCTAAGGACGGAATACCCGGTCTGAGCCCTGACGACGTGATTGAGCTAAGGAAACCAGTGTACGGCTTAGTTGACGCTCCAAAGTTGTGGTGGGACTCACTGACCAGGACATTGACTGACCTTAACATGGTCCAATCGCAGCTTGACAAGTGTATGTTTTACTATCGTGATGGTAATGGTCGTTTGTTGGGGATGATTGCGTTTCATGTGGATGATTTGATTTGTGGTGGCAGTGAAGAGTTCATGAGAAATGTGTTTGAGCCTTTGAAAGCTAAATACCCGTTTAAACATGTTACTGTTGGCAACGGCGAGTTTTTAGGTAAGAAGTTGGTTCAAAATGATGATTTTAGTATTGCTATTCACCAAAAAGAATATGCTCGAGACGTCGAATGCATACATGTGTCAAAAGAGAGGAGAAAACAGAAAAATGAACAAACCACGGATGAGGAGAAAAGTCAAATGAGGGGAGTGCTGGGAGAACTCAATTGGCTGGTAACAGGTAGTAGGCCTGACCTCGCTGCAGGATGTTCTTTGATGCAACAAAAGGTAACTAGATCTACTGTTGGAGACTTGATTGAAGTAAATAGATTGGTTGCATGTGCTCATGACTTCAGTGGGCTCGAGATCAAAGTCAAACCGATAGCACCCCAAGACTTAGAGATATGCGCATGGTCGGATGCATCTTTTGCCAATGCAGAGAAGTTCAAGAGTCAGGGAGGATACATGATCTGCGGAACTGATAGAAAGCTGAGAAACGGTGAATGGGCTAATGTGAGTCCTTGGAGGTGGAGAAGTTACAAACAGGATCGTCAGGTAGCTTCAACGTTGGGAGCTGAACTGATGACACTTTCGCGAACCATTGCAGAGGCAAAATGGTTGAGATCCCTCTGGACCGAAGCTGTTCAACCAAAGTATCGACTAGAAGAAGATCAGCTGTGGACAAGTAGAATTGCAATGACGTTGTCAATCGACTCGAAACCTGTTTATGACCATGTGAACGGGCAGATGATGACATTGAAAGACAAGAGAATTGCGATAGAGATGCTCCTAGTGAAGCGTGACATTGACAAGGACAATGTCATTATCAGATGGTTACCAACTGACCATATGCTAGTTGATGGATTGACGAAGCAGGGTGTCAATCTTGACTTTCTCAGAAAAGTGTTGTCTGAAGGAAGAGTGACGTTGAAGGAAGATGATACGATTCTGAGATGGATCGGAAAAACTCAGAAACATAGATGAGTGCGTGTGTGTTTGTTGGTTGGTTTGTTGTCGAAAGGTTTTTGTTTGTTTGAGATCCATAAAAGTTTTGAAACATGTCAGAGAAGAAAAAGGGATGTGTGAAATGACATGTCTATCTCTGACCTGTTTACTGTCGAATCACGTGGCAACCTTGTGGCACAAGCCCCCCTTTAGCCTACCATGAGAAAAGGTGCGTTGAACGAAGCTGATGCCATTTGAGGGACATCACGAAAGTGGGTTCGTCAATACATACATATATACATACATACATACATACATACATACATACATACATACATACATACATATATTATATATATATATATGCTCTGTATATAGTGCATATATGCACATTTAAAATCATGTACATACAAATGAGATGTGAGTAAACGAGGTGTTCTTGGATCGGCAGATGACGATATTGCATTTTTTCTGCATATTCTGTCAATTTTAGTGGTCATTCACTTTTTTGCTGATCATGAGCATGATTTTTTGGCGAATACCTGCATATTCTACATATTTAAAATACGATATTGCATCTGTCTGCATATTTTGACATTGTTTTATGGTTCATGGAAAGATTTGTTTGCAATTTACATGCATATTCTGCATATTTGCAGTACCATATACATGGAAGACACGGGACGGTTGAAAAATTTGCATCAAACATTTTGGATTTTTAGGGGTTTCAGGACTTAAATAAATAGAGTTAGAATGCCGTCCCGGATTTTTTAAGGGGTTTCAGGACTAAATAAATAGGGGTTAGAATGCCCGTCAGGGTTTTTCCCACGATATTCTCCGCGATAATGAAATGTTGATTAAACAGGATGGTAACTTTCAAAAACGGCAATATACACATATATATATATATATGCGCTGTAATTATGTACATCTGCAATCATGTACATACATATTAGATGTGAGTAAACGAGGTGTTCTTGGATCGGCGGATGACGATATTGCATTTTTTGCATATTTTGTCATTTTTTTCATCATGGGTAGATCCATTAGTTTTCATTGGTTTTTCATTATTTTGACGATGGTTTTCAATATTTTCATTGTTTTTTTCATTATATGGTACAGCCGAAAATTATAATGCCATCTTGGTGGAAAAACATGGATTTCAAGAAAAAATACCGCGTACCGCGTGAGAAATCTGGGAGGCATTCTAACCTTATTTATTAAGTCCTGAAACCCCTTAAAAGAATCTGGGACGGCATTCAGTGATTTTTCATTATTTTCAAGATGTTGTTCATTATTTTTCAGTGAATTTTCATTATGTTCAAGGGTGTGTTTCATTATTTTTCATTGATTTTTCAATGTCGTTACATGTGCTTCATTATTTTTCAGTGTTTTTTCAGTGTTTTAGAGATGTTTTTCATCATTTTTCATTATCTTTTGGGTAGATTTTTTGCAATTTACATGCGTATTCAGCATATTTGCAGTGCCATATGCATGGAAGACACGGGACGGTCGAGAATGCGTTAAGAATTTTGGAGTTTTAAGGGTGTCAGGACTAAATAAATAGGGTTAGAATGCCTTCAGGACTAAATAAATAAGGTTAGAATGCCTCCCGGATTTTTCACGCGGTACGCGGGTCTTTTCTTGAAATCCACATCTTTCCACCAAAGCGGCATTCTAACTTTCAGTTGTCGGTTATAAAAGAAAGGGAGAGGAAAGAGGAAAGAAAAAGAAAAAATACATCTATTCAGATGTTACACACACACACACTTTCACACACAGAGGCTTTTACACACAGATGTTTTTACACACAGAGACTTTTACACGCAGACGTTTTTACACACAAACGCTTTTACACACAGAAGTTTTTACACACAGAGGCTTTTACACGCAGACGCTTTTACACACAGACACTTTTACACACAGACACTTTTACCCACAGAAGCTTTTACACAGACACTTTTACACACAGACGCTTTTACACACAAACGCTTTTACACACACAGAGGTTTTTACACACAAACGCTTTTACACACAGAAACTTTTACACACAGACGTTTTTACACACAGACGCTTTTACACACAGGCGCTTTTACCCAAACACTTTCACACACAGAGGTTTTTACGCACAGAAGCTTTTACACAGAGACTCCTTTACACAGAGACGCTTTTACACACAGAAGTGTTTACACACAGACGCTTTTACACACAGACGCTTTTACACACAGACGCTGTTGCGCACAAACACTTTCACACACAGAGGCTTTTACACACAGACGCTTTTACGCACAGACGCTTTTACACACAGCAGTTTTACAAACAAACGCTTTCACACACAGGCTTTTACACACAGAAACTTTCACACACAGAAGCGTTTACACACAGAAACTTTACACACAGACACTTTTACACACAAACGTTTTTTTTTACACACAGAAGTTTTTACACACAGACCCTTTTACACACAGACGTTTTTTACACAAACACTTTTCACGCACAGAGGTTTTTACACACAGAAGCTTTCACACACAGAAACTTTTACACACAAACACTTTCACACACAGAGGCCGGACCTTTGAAATCGCAATCTTACCGCTTTTTTATATCGATCGAACCTCATTTCGTTCGAAA